CTGCTCGTGCTTCCGTGGCTGGACGGGCCGACTGTGTGCCGACCGGCCACCCATCGTCCGCCCCCCACAACCCGCCCGGTGCGTGAGCGCGCGTGACTGCGGCCCGGACGAGCAGTGCAGGAGGAGTGCCACCGGCATCAGGGTCTGCGCGTGCAGGCACGGATACTACAGGCGCGATGCGAAGGACACCTGCAGAGGTAGGTTTGCGGGCGCGGAGAATGGGTGGATGTGACGTCATCGTGACGTAAACTGGTCGCGTCAGGTTGACGCGCGTATTTCAGCTGTTTCATTGGCGCATGTGCATGCGCATAATTATACGCACGTCCACACGCGCGCGCAGTGTGTGTGTGTGTGTGTGTGTGTGTGTGTGTGAGTGTGTGTGGTGTTATGTTGTGAGTGTGCGCGTGGTGTGGTGTCCGGTGTGTGTGGTGTGTGTGTGTGGTTGTGTGTGTTGTGTGTGTGTGTGTGTGTGGTGTGTGGTCGTGTGTGTGTCGTGTGTTGTGTCGTGTGGGTGTGTTTGTGTGTGTTTGTGGTGCGTGTATGTGTCCGTGTTTGTGTGTGTGTGTGTGTGAGAGAGAGAGAGTGCGCGTGGTGCATGTGCGCACGCGTGTGTGTATTATCTATGTGAGCGCGCGCGTGAACACGCATAGCATATTTGTTTACAATTTTGTATGTACGAATATGTATCCAATAGATGCATAATATTGTACGCTCATTACGACAGCTTCAATGATCTACGTGTTGCTACTGAGAATCGTCCGTAGAGACGTGGAACCCATCAACTATACACCAGTTCTGAACGACGTCACATCGTTCGAGTACGTCGACCTCACTACTACAGCCCACATTGGAGTGAGTATATTTATATCCCGAGTTAGGCGTCTCTGTCTTCCGTTAGATTCGATTCGCTTCACATTTTAACACGCGTTACAACAGCAGAGAGTATTATAAGTGGACCACTGCACATTGAGAACAGCAATTGTTTCGAGGATAATTGGCAGCGTTTTTTTGCCGTCACCTATACTGACCGGGTCAAGCAAACACATTATCACGAGAATGAGTAATAATGACTGTTACACTATTAATTAATTAATCGATCGATGGATCAATAAATTGATTAATGACCTATTTCATTTTATAAATGTAAACCGATGTGAAGTATACGTGAATCTATCGACGACTAAATTCGCAATTTTCTACTGTCTTCTAAAGGTTGAAAATGCACTAGACATCACGCCTATACGCGAGTATTACGTTGGTTCTGAGATCAACACCATCGTAGACCCGACTGCAATCAGCGCTGGCGACCAGGGAATCGTCTATAACATCACTGTTGCCGCAGACAGGTAGGCCTAACCTACTGAGATTATCATCGATATCTGCATCGGTCATACTATACCGTCTCCTGCGTAGTCCGTCCTGTTATGCAACCGACAACGCCTTTTATTTCGCGATGGGAAGAAATATTCCTCATTAATTGCATTCTCTGTTTCTACTTCTTGGTCCTAGTTTCTCGCGGTTGACGCTCCTTGTTGACGATACTTCTCCACCTCCTTCGATCGGCCGCATCGTCCTCCGTTACTCCAAACCTTCTCATCTCCGCCTCCACTCCATTCCTCCATCTAATTCTCTGTCGCCCTCGCGTCCTTCTTCCTCTCACCGGCTCCTGTCATGTTCTCCTCGTTTGCTCCTTATCTTCTTCTTCGCATTCTCTGCATTGAAATCCAACGAGGAAGAAAAAGACTAAAGAGCTAAAATATTTTGCCTACGTGAATGCCCATTGTCGTTGTCAGACCGTTACTTTTAAGTTGTCCAGTTTTCATAGCGCTAATATTTGTGAAGTTGTAAACGCCATGTTTCTAACCGTAATCTTCATAGTATACACACGGTCTGGTTGGTTTCATATTTTATCTTGTCTATCGATTAATTGCTTATCTGTGTGTCTGTTGTTCAGAGCGTATGCTGGAAGTGGAATCGATATTGCGCGGGAGTTGGTCAATTCCATCATATCTACGAACTACAGCCTCGGTGGAACCGATCTGTTTGTCAACCCTGTATTCGTTGTCAACTACACAGGTAGGCAAGCCACTATACGGCGGCTCTAGTAGCCTATGTGACATAAATTCCTTCAAGTTAAGCTAGGTGCATCGCTCACTTTCCCCATGTGATGTTGCGAGGCCAGCCGTCATGTGTTTCAGCTCAGGCAATCACAGATCAGTATTTTTCCAGCTTAGCCAATTGCCACGCCGTGTTTCATCAGCTCAGCCAATCACCGCTCCGTGTTTCACTAGCTTAGCCAATTGCCACGCAGTGTTTCACCAGTTCAGCCAATCACGGTTCTCCGTGTTTCTCTCTGCAGATTACAACGAGTGCGCCCGCAGCGAGCTGAACGACTGCAGCGCCAACGCCGTCTGCGTCAACTCACATGGTGGCTACAGCTGCGTGTGTCGCCCAGGCTTCTTCGACGCCTCCCCTGAACTGACCACGGCCCCCGGCAGGGTGTGCTACGGTAAGTGACACTGCTACAATAGATATTTAGGTGTGTATGTGCATGTATGTATGTGTGAGTGCGTGTTGGACAAAAACTATAGGGCGGCCCCCAATTATAGCGACAGCTATGGTGAGCTAACCGCTAAACTAGCCTGCGTGAGCAAGCCCTATGAGTTGGGCGGAGTTCCAGCCCGAGCGGAGAGTGCCCGAGAGCACCTAAATGTCAGCTCTTGTCCCTTTAATAATTTTATATATAAGCAGACACAGCATATTGGATAGTTAGTCATTGCAGAAAGAGATACATACACGTATAAATACAGACATACACATACACGGACGCACGCACGCACGCACGCACGTACGAATGCACGCACCCATGGGCACGTACGTATTTACGTGTGTCAATTATACGCCAGAACGGGTTAATTTAATATCGGCACTTGTTGATTGTGACAGATTGTCTCGCTAGTCAGTGCAGTAACAACGGCGACTGTCAAGTGAACACTAACGGACGTCGATTCTGCAGGTATGGTAGCAAAACTCTTCACCTTTACCTCTAGGCCCGCACTAATAAATAATAGTGTAAAACACCTGCTCTCCCTCGGGTTATATTATCCAAACTCTTTATTACTTTATACACATTACTGTATGAATAAGATTGAGAGGTAATAATTCTTAATGTGTTTTTCTCAGGCGTAGCACTATAGAATGGTTGATACATACTATTTGAGTAATGAAAGTGATGGAAATAATTTGTATTACAGTTGTTTCGCCGGTTGGACTGGTCCGCGCTGCGATATCAGAGAGGCGCCACCGACGACGATTACTGCCTGCAGAAACGCGAGAGACTGCAATGTCGCCAACAACGAAATATGTGGCTTTGTAGGTGGCGCCACCATCTGCCTCTGCCGGGCTGGATACTTCCGAAAGGAGCCGGGCACGGCTTGTCAACGTACGTCAATCAGTAGCAATAGCAGGAGCGTAGCTTAACTTATTTTTTCTTGTTGGGGGAGGGGGGGCCACGTGCGTGCTCTCTTCTGTGAAGGTGACCGCCATTTACCATTGATTGTATCTACATTTCTCATGAGGGTAACTGCTCCCATTGCTCCTTTCCCATATGGCAATTCTCATCCTTGCATTTGGCATAATCTCGTTTACTATATGCCTTCTTTGCAGATGTGTTTTAATGTTGTTACATTCAATCATCTACTTAAATTTTGCTGCTTATCGTCTATACATTTGCCGAATTAGAACATTGTATTGGCCAATCTGAATAATTCCGTGATGTCATATAGTAATGTCGATAATAATGTCGTCGACGTCGTTTCTCGCGCTATAGTGTCGAAGATGTACGTGATACTGCTGAGGATCGTACGTAGAGACTTAACACCGCTCAACTACAGGCCCATCTACAGCGACCACAGCTCATACGACTTCATCGAGCTGTCCAGGAGAGCAGAGACCGGGGTAAGTCAGACCTCGGAAATCCTATTAAGTGGGACAGTAATGCTTAAGACGTCTCGCACGAAATCTACTAATTATTTATTAATTACTAATTATAATTATAATTATAATTATAATTATTAATTGCTAATCATTTATGATATGGCGAAAGACGCATCGTCCTATTTAATCGGTTTCATTGAAAGGTCGAATAGAGGGCGGCAAGAAAGTAGGAATGCGAATTTAATGCACGAGCGTAGCAACGATTTCTAATGTTTATGATAATTATGGACATGGCATACTTTACCACAATTAATCTACAATCTGTTGTAGCGTGCTCGGTAACACCTTGTGTCTGTGTATTAATTCCTCTTTTCTTCTCCTAAAGTTTGTTTCTTTATTTTAACTCCGCATTATTTTTTCTCTCTAGCTGAACAGCGCGTTTGAAGCCAGCAGCGTACAGCCTGACTATATCGGCTCTAGTGTAACCAGCCTTATCGACCCCGCCACCATCAACGTGGCGCCCACTGGTGTCGTGTTGAACATCACTGTGGGCGTCGACGGCGCGTACGAAGACGGCGCCGTGAACGTTGCTCAGGCCCTCGTCAGGTCGATCATATCCACAAACTACAGCGTAGGCGGCACAGATCTGTTCGTCAACCCACTCTTCAAGATCCAATACTTTGGTATGCTTGCTGCGACTAGCGATTACTATTGATTGACCGCTGTGATCGTTCGTGAGGGCGCGATCGATTTTCTGATTGATGCAAGATGTGCAGATCTATCTATAGAGCGCTCATCCTCTCGTAAAGTTTTGCCTGATATGTATTTGAATATAATATATTCCTGAGATAAATAAATATATATATATATGTATTATATCAAGTAACTGAAAGAGAGAGCACGAGAGAGAGAGAGAGCGCGAGAGAGAGAGAGAGAGAGAGAGAGAAAGAGAGTGAGAGATGGAGAGGGGTGGAAGATAGGGAGGACACAAAAGCACAGTGACGTTAAGACTACGGTGATAATTATGTATAATATCTAACATTACGGTTTCGCACAGATGTAAACGAATGCGCGGACCCACTGCTTAACGACTGCGATCGCCATGCGGACTGCATCAACCTGGAGGGATCTTACACCTGCGTGTGCCAGGCCAACAGAGGCTTCTTCGATGTGTCTCAGAGACAGGAGCGGCCGCTGCCGGTTGGTCGCGTCTGCAAAGGTGACATTTAATATAGCGTATAGATATATAACAGATCTAGATATATAATACGGGAAGTGCCCCGCGGGTATCCGATATACATCACGGTCTCTGCATATGATAAATTAGCACGCTTGCTGTTAGTAAGTCACTGATCTGTGTTTCATCACGCGATGCAGTCTCGTGCGATTGTTGTTCAGTACACACAGTTTACGCTATATATTGTCGTTGGATTCCACAACGACTTAAAAACGAATTCATAACGAATTCATAACTGTCTTTTACTGCGGGCGTGAGAGGCTGTCTCCGTTCTACGTAAATATTCTAGCTGAGCTGTCACACTTTTCCTTTACACTATGTTCAGCTGATAATACTCACAACTAGTGGTGTTCTCTAATTCACATGGTCGACACATTTCTGCTTGTTCACCGTGTGACTAACTGCCGCGTGTCATCATTGCAGAGTGTCCCGCCGATCTGTGTAGCGACCACGGAACCTGCCGCATCAGCGCTCAAGGAGAGCCCTACTGCAGGTGAGTATGCGCGCGCACACAGTGTCACACCGCGGTTTGTCAAACCTACATAGATGTAAGTAGATGAATCTCTGCGCGATATGCCCCTTTATTATTCTTTACTCGCGTGGTGATCACGCAGTATCATAGATTGAGCGTTATGCGAGTCTAATAAGGCAACGCTGTATATCGGCAATCTTATCCGCAACATCGTGATGACGTTAAAGGAACACAATCTGGCATTTAAGAGATCTACGGCACTTTGAGTTTGCCCCAGAATTCCGCCCACCGATGATTGCTGGAGCCTGAACAGGCTCTGACGGCCAATACACAGCACCTGTTGCCACATTTAACAACTCTTAGCGCGCGCACACATGGATCAATGGTTTGTGCACGTACAATGACATTTACTTGGAGCACCTGTAAATTCCAGGCTGAGAGTGCCTGAGAGCACCCAAATGTCATATCGTGTCTCTGCACCGCGTGACTGCATCTGGTGTAATCCACTGGCATCAACATTTCACGCGTCTGTTTTCAGCTGTGACCAGGGCTGGCAGGGTTCTATGTGCAATCTCAGGATCGTCCCCCGGCCACCGCCCTGTGGTAACGGTGGCAGCTGCGACGCCGACAACAACGAGGTGTGTGGTGAGGTCCGAGGATTCCCGACGTGCGTCTGCGCACCTTCCTACTTCCGGCAAAACAATCGCGGACGCTGTAGACGTAAGTAACCATGGAAACCGTCCAGTTGTATCTCATCCTCTGCACAGAGCTTGGACAGTGCATTGATCGTAATCATGTTCTATAACGTTTGTCATCGTGTTTTCCTCCGTGTATGCAACAAGTAAAATAGATCTGATAAATCGAAATATACATAGTTACAGGAGTCTATATCAATAGACTATTGATAGACTCCTGATAGTTACATGATGTGTTATTAAGTTACACGATGATACGTTACACTGTTATATCAAACGTGTTTTGAACGCCGTGAATGAATGTGTGTCTGCATCGCGTTTACAGCATCGATGGTATACGTCATCATGCTGAAGGTGGTGAGGAAAGACGTCGTACCAATCACTTACCGACCGGTGCTGGCCAATGTGTCCACCTACGACTTCTACTACCTCGCCACCACCGGTCAGGTCGGGGTATGTATCACGTTTACTCTCATGCCCATAGCATTTCCATTACTGCTCCTCCACCAACCTAGCTGAAAAATTATCTATTATCTAGCCAGTAGAACCACGGATGCTATTAACAAATGGGTAAAATATTTGAAATGGGTAAAATATTTGAAATGGGTAAAATATTTGAAATGGGTAATTTGTCACGTTGTTACTAATCGGGTTGTTCAGAGAGCATGACGTCTGCTCGTTCTTCCACTTGTTTTAAGTGGATATATGTCATTTATCACTCGCATATATTATTAGGGTGATAAAGCATTTAGAAACATGTTAGATGCTTATTTGACACTAACATATCTCACTATATTGATTAATCGATTGGAAGTATATTAGGCAGCTATTTGACGCTAACACATCTCTCTAGGTTAATCAATCATTTGGAAGTATATTAGGCTGTTATTTTGCATTAACATGTTTCTCTAGGTTGCTAAGGCATTTGGAAGTATATTAGGCAGCTATTTAACACTAACATGTGTTTCTAGGTTAATCAAGCATTCAGAAGTATATTAGATGGCTATTTTACACTAACCTATCTCCCCAGATTGACCAAGCATTCAAAAGCACCAACGTCGGTCCGTACTATGTCGGCTCGAGCGTGAACAAGCTTGTCGACCCTGTGACGGTGAACGCCGGTAGCGGCGGCGTCGTCCTCAACGCAACGGTCGGCGTTGATCCCAGCTACCCGGGAGATCTGCAGACGTTCACGAACGAGTTCGTCAAGTCGCTGGTGTTTACGAACTACAGCGTCGGCAGCACGGATCTATACGTCGATCCTCTGACGTTCGGAATCAATCTGACAGGTGGGTGTCGGCGAGTCGAGTTAGTGTAGTTAGTGAGTGCTAGAGTTAGGGTTAGTGTCAGAGTTAAAGTTCGGAATAGGGATAGTGTTAGGGTTAAAGCTAGGGTTAGAGTTGGATTAGGGTTAGGGCTAGGGTTATAGTTGGGTGTTAGAATTAACGCATACACACGCACACACACAAACACGCATGCACACACACACACACACACACACACACACACACACACACACACACACACATCGTTCGGACGAGACACACACACACACACACACACACACACACACACACACACACACACACACACACACACACACGCACACACACATACACACGCACATGTCGAATTTCATGCTGCAACTGTCGTCTTCATTCTGATAATGTAGATTTCAACGAATGCGCTCGGCCATCTTTGAATGTCTGCCACCGCGATGCCATCTGCGTTAACACTATCGGAGCGTACGGCTGTGTCTGCAGACCAGGATTCTACGACCTGGCCAGCAGGGGAAACCAGCCTCGCGGTCGTACCTGCGTCGGTAAGTAACCGCATCAACAAGATGGCGTCAAAAACGCATCATTGTCTGACAGAATTCTGACGAGAGCTACGAGCTGATGTCTGCGATAGGATTACTCTATGATGAGTACATGTGTCTATGATCGACTCTAGCCATGTGTGAAGAAGAGGAAGCCTAGATGGACTCTACGGTGCACAGCCCCACTGTACTGCCCCACGTGGGTTCAATATGTATGCCATATTATGCAAAAGTTCTGGAGATGGACTCTGATGGGTTGTGATGGTCGGTTCTGATCACTGATATCACTGTATAATTATTTAATTATTATTTATAATTAATTTATTTAATCAGCTATGTTGTCGTTCTTTCAGCTTGCCCGACGAACTACTGCAACGGTCGCGGTGACTGCATCATAGACGACTTCGGTAGACAGGCGTGCAGGTAAGCGACTATTCCAACACCTCTATACTATAGCCACCGTAGTCTATATATAATGTATAATATCTGTATATATATATATATATATATATATATAACAGAAATTAATAGTGAGGTGCGCTGTCGGTACATATCCTAAGTGGTGTCAGTCGGTGCTGCTGATTTCTCTGTCTGCAACAGGCAAAGACTGCACAAGAACCTTTAACGATATGTGCTATACTACGTGTATATGTGTTCATATATGTATGGCTGCATGCGATGTTTATTTATTATATGTAAAACACCGCTTATCTAGTTTAATTCTTTGTCTTTTAACTTAAATATTTAATTTTACAATTCTTTTGTACAGTTGCCGTGTTACAATTCCCTTAATGTTCGTCATCAAGATATTTATGTGCTCTCTTTAACGCTTGTATTTTTCACACTTATCCACACAGCTGTGCACCGGGATGGACGGGAGAGCGCTGCGCCCGCCAGGTGGTGATTCCACCGGCAGGTGTCGTGTGCGTCGACAACACACAGTGTTCGGGTCGTAACCGCGAGGTGTGCGGTGTTGTGAGGAACCAGCGCGTCTGCGTCTGTGGTCCGGGTTACAGCAGGAGGGGACCCCGCGGACAGTGTCTGCGTAAGTGCCGGCTCGCTACTCGAATACTGCCATATACGCGCTATGATTCTATATAGTAATTACTATTAGGCGTTGCATAGCCTACTATTATTATATTATATAATAATTTATTGATTATAACTCATATAAGTGACATAACATTGACGATAAATCCGATTTTTTTCGGCTTCGGCGTACGCGAGTATGTGTGCGCGCGCGCGCGCGCGCGTGTGTGTGTGTGTGTGTGGTGTGTGTGTTGTGTGTGTGTGTGGTGTGTGTGTGTGGTGTGTGTGTGTGTGTGTGTGTGTGTGTGTGTGTGTGTGTGTGAGTGTGTGTGTGTTGTGTGTGTGTGTGTGTGCGTGTTGTGTGTGTGTGTGTGTGTGTGTGTGTATGTGTGTGTGTGTGTGTGTGTGTGTGTGTGTGGTGTGTGTGTGTGTATGTGCGCTCACCTCCCGTGCCGGGCGTGCTTGTGTCTGTGACCACGATGCTGACCGCAGCTGCGCCCTCTATACTTCAGCGTCTCTCATCTACACCATACTTCTGAGGGTCGTCCGACGTGACGTCATACCGCTAGAGTTCCGGCAGGAGTACAGGAACCCGTTGTCCTACGACTACTACAATCTCACGACTACCGCCCAGACCGGGGTAAGTCTACGTCTCCTGTGACTGTGCGGCGTGACCGGCGTCAAGCCAGTTAGATGGCCGCCAGCATCTTCACGACTATATTGTAACTATTCTCGTACTAAACATTAATACATTTCTTACTACATCTACTATACATATACATATACGTATGTATATATACGTATATATATATACATACGTATGTATATATACATATACATATACACCTACGTAACTATAACTATCCTTACGTTACCATCGCACAGGTGAATCGTGCTCTCGACTCGACCAGCATTAGCGATTCGTTTATCGGTTCGCGCGTCCTGGACATCAGTCCACCGAGCACCGTCGGTGCTTCTGGCGGCGTCGTGTTTCCGGCCGACGTCACGTTCCACGCAAACTTCCCGGGTTCTGTCATCGACGTCACGCAGCATCTGTGGCAGGCGATAGTCAGCGCAAACTACAGCCTCGGTGGCACGGACCTGTACGTCGACAGACTCAACTTCACGCTCAACTATCGGGGTGCGTTACTTAATGTTAATAAGTTTATAATAACTTAATTAATTTATAATATGTGCGTGACACGTGCAGAATCACGCATAATATACAAGAGGCCCGGTAGCGGAAATATCGTGAATATTCAGTACTATCATAAGTCTATAAGTTTGTCGGAAGCAGCGTCGGAAAGCACGTCCTGCCTTAACCGAACACAACACTTTTGTTGTCCCAAATTATTTTCATTCGCTGTATGCTATATATAACGTTTAGTTGTGAAATAAAGAGCTGCTGTGACGAATATGATTATGTATTACTTTCCACTCCTTGGCTGACGACTTGGAATGCGGATTTCATCCGATAGTAATGCTCAAAATCTGAAACTCGCATTTCGAGATTGCAAACTCCGATTTCGAATGAGATATTCGGGCTTTGGTCGTGGCGATGTAATAACTATGCTATTATAATTTATTATAATTTATATAGTTATATTATTAATACGATTATCTTCTGCCGCTGACACAGACGTGGACGAGTGTTCCGACCCGCTGCTCAATGACTGTCACGAGGATGCGGTGTGTCGCAACCTGCCAGGCACCTTCCGCTGCACGTGCAAGCCCGGGTACATCGACCTGACCCCTGCTGTCGCCGGCCGCAGATGCGTCTGTAAGTACAGCGCCCTCTAGCGAGAGCGCCGTGAGTTCACGCTCGCAGTCACCGCATAGTCAGTCGTGTAGAAAGTTAACGGGCAGCTTTGTGTTTTAATAAGGTACCCGCCCGTCGATGTCTTGCGTATCTGACAGGTAGATAATAGTCAATCAAGTATTATATCAGTCAAAGACTGTATAAGCTAAAATTCGCAGTTTTTATTGCTATCGATACCCCGTATAGCATATTCACTATACTATGCGCTCATTAGCAAGGAATCAGTTTTGTACACGCGCGTGTTTGTTGCAGACTGTCCAAAAGATTTCTGCAGTGGTCATGGCGAATGCAAGGTCAATTCTAATGGCGCCCGAGCATGCAGGTATGGCTACACCGCTGTGGTGATAGAAATCTTTAACTTTACGCTCAGTTACGATGGTATTTGTTTTGTTATTTACACTTATTTGTGTTTCACGAGTTGAGATCACCAAAATATCATTTGTTGATGCTCGCTGGCCGAAAGCTGGTGTGTTTGGTTTTTGCGAGTTTCGTTATTGCGATGTATATAACTATGAATATTATCGCTGTTAACCAGTGTTGTCTGTGTATGCGTGCGCTTGCGTGCGCGTATGTGTGTGTGAGCGCGTGCGTGCGTGCGCGTGTGTTCGCGTGTGTGTGTGCGCGCGTGCGCGTACGTGCGTGTGTAAGATTGTGGACTAACATTGATTATTTGTCTGCTCTAGCTGTGAGGCCGGCTGGATGGGAGAGCGCTGTGATGTATCGTTCACTACGCCGCCGCCACGCGTCGGCCCCGTCTTCTGCCGCACGGACCGCGACTGCGATGCCGACAACAACGAACTGTGCCGTAACGTCGGCGGCCGCGGCGTCTGCATCTGCCGCTCCGGCTTCATGCGGCGTTCTAACGACGCCCAGTGCAAACGTGAGTCCGCCATGTTTGTTATGTGGTCGCGAGCGACTACGTCATCTCTATTACATGATGACACGCATTGGGTATATCCATGACCTCTTGTACCCATTGACTCTCTTATATACGTACTAAAAGCTGTTACGTCACGCAGCTATTTCTTCCGTTATTATCTTTTCATATTAGATTATGCCGGGTGCTATATTTGTTAAACAATAGTCGTTTGCAATATAATATTTTAATTCTTAATTAATTAATTTTTATTAAAAGTTATTTTGTTAAAATAATATTTTAATTAAAAATAATTAATTAATTAATTTTTATTAAAAGTTATTTTGTTAAAATAATATTTTAATTAAAAATAATTAATTAATTAATTTTTATTAAAAGTTATTTTGTTAAAATAATATTTTAATTAAAAATAATTAATTAATTAATTTTTATTAAAAGTTATTTTGTTAAAATAATATTTTAATTAAAAATAATTAATTAATATTGCATACATAAATAATATTATGTATTATTATTGTAATTTATAATAATAATTGAACATTTCAGCGGCCCAGCTGTACGTGCTGCTACTGATGGTGGTGAGGCGGGATCAGACGCCGATAACCTACCTGCCCGTGCACTCCAACCCTCTCTCCCCGCAGTCCATCGAGCTAGCAAACCTGGCTACCGCAGGGGTGAGTAGAGTCCTCATAAATTAGATGCTCATTTATTTATATTTATTTATATAACAATTATTTAACCCAATTAATGATTTTATATAATAATAATTATTAAAAAATTTAAATTTATTTATTTATTTTTAAATAAGTTATATCAGCTAATTATGAATTAATATATTACAATTATTAGATAGATATCACTGAGGTCAGCATAATAGACCATCACTTAGCACAAAACCTAATTTCGTTTTTTTTATTATGAATCACGTAAAGGTGAACAGCGCGTACGACACCAGCAACCTTGCTTCTGTCTATATCGGAGCCGAAACCCTGAACATCGCCAGCCCTGAGATCATAGACGCAGACCCGCGAGACGGCATCGTATTCAGGGTACTGTTTGGTGTCGACAGAAACTACAAGGGTGAGACTTCTTCTAATTGTTTACTCATCTCGTGAATTGATCTATAGAGTTCTATAGTCTCGAAATCAACGTAGTTTATATCGTGGTATTACGTGATAGTTGCAGTTTGCTGATTTTCACCGTTGTAACGCAGCCTGTGGGCATAGATGTGCAAAGCATGCTCAATGTTTACATATTATGCGTACAATATAATATATAATGCAATTATACATATAATGCATGTACAATTTATGTATTTCTAGTCGATCCATCGCAGCTTGTGAGCACCCTGAGGCAGTCTATCGTCAACACAAACTACAGCGTCGGAGGCACAGAGCTCTATGTCAACCGACTTGACTTCACTTTGCCATATACCGGTAAATGCTTAATGAAAATAAATGTTTTGCTATCACTCGGCGTGTACTTCATAAAACACGTATGCTTAATGATAGTAAAGGCGATAGGAGTGAGTAGATATGATATGTGTGCGAGTGCATGCATGCGTGCGTGCGTGTGTGTGTATGCATGCGCGTGCGCGCACGTGTGTGTGTGTTATGTGCGCGCAGGCTGTGCCCGTGCGTGATTGTATCTGTGACGATGCTGACCGCAGCTGCGGCCTCTATACTTCAGCGTCTCTCATCTACACCATACTTCTGAGGTCTCGTCCGACGTGACGTCATACGCTAGAGTTCCGCAGGAGTACAGGAACCCGTTGTCCTACGACTACTACAATCTCACGACTACCGCCCAGACCGGGGGTAAGTCTACGTCTCCTGTGACTGTGCGGGTGACCGGCGTCAGCCATTAGATGCCGCCAGCATCTTCACGACTATTTGTAACTATTCTCGTCTAAACAATAATACATTTCTTACTATCTACTATACATATACATATACGTATGTATATATACGTATATATAATATACTAGTATGTATATATACATTACATATACACCTACGTAACTATAACTATTCCTTACGTTACCATCGCACAACAGTGTGATCGTGCTCTCGACTCGGACCAGATTACGATTCGTTTATCGGTTTCGCGCGTCCTGGACATCAGTCACCAGCACCGTCGGTGCTTCTGGGCGGTCGTCGTGTTTCCGGCCGACGTCCAGTTCCACGCAAACTTCCCGCGGTTCTGTCATCGACGTCACGCAGCATCTGTGGCAGGCCGATAGTCAGCGCAAACTACAGCCTCGGTGCACGGACCTGTACGTCGACAGACTCAACTTCACGCTCAACTATCGGGTGCGGTTACTTAATGTTAATAAGTTTATAATAACTTAATTAATTTATAATATGTGCCCGTGACACGTGCAGAATCACGCCTAATATACAAGAGGCCGGTAGCGGAAATATCGTGAATATTCAGTACTATCATAAGTCTAATAAGTTTGTCGGAAGCAGCGTCGGAAAGCACGTCCTGCCTTAAACCAACACAACACTTTTGTTGTCCAATTATTTTCATTCGCTGTATGCTATATATAACGTTTAGTTGTTAAATAAAGAGCTGCTGTGACGAATATGATTATGTATTACTTTCCATCCTTGGCTGACGACTTGGAATGCGGATTTCATCCGATAGTAATGCTCAAAATCTGAAACTCGCATTCGAGATTGCAACTCCGATTTTCGAATGAGATATTCGGGCTTTGTCGTGGCGATGTAATAACTATGCTATTTATAATTTATTATAATTTATATAGTTATATTATTAATACGATTATCTCTGCCGCTGACACAGACGTGGACGTGTGTTCCGACCCGCTGCTCATGACTGTCACGAGGATGCGGCGTGTGTCGCAACCTGCCAGGCACCTTCCGCGCTGCACGTGCAAGCCGGGTACATCGACCTGACCCCTGCTGTCGCCGCGCGCAGCAGTGCGTCTGTAAGTACAGCGCCTCTAGCGAGAGCGCCGTGAATTCACGCTGCCAGTCACCGCATAGTCAGTCGTGTTAAAAGTTATGTGTGTGTGTGTATGTGCATATGTGTGTGTGTGTGTGTGTGTGTGTGTGTGTGTGTGTGTGTGTGCGTGTGTGTGTGTGCATGCTTGTGTCTGTCTGTCTGTTCATCCGTCCGTCTGTCTATCCTTCCATTTATATATTTATCTGCGAATTACTTATTGACTACGTATTTAATAGCAACAATCTTCGCGTATAATCTCTGCGCGTTGTGTGTTCGCATCTTGCATTCTCACATGTTCTGGCTTCTTTTCGCAGGCTGTCCCCGCAGCTTCTGCAGCGGCAACGGCGAGTGTGTACTCGACGCTCAGATGAGACCGTCATGCGAATGCACAGGACTTTGGGAGGGAGAGCACTGCGACATCAGCCCGACAGGTAGGCCTACAAACCGCTGTTCAACATAGGTGTTTGAAGATCTTCCGCTCCATCTGCGGGAAAGCATCAGATTTAACGTAGAGAATCGACTGGTGAATCGGGAAAAGCATTGTAAATGTAACGTTTGCTACACACATAAGTAGGCTGTTGATATTAACAGTAGTCAGAGATGATATTTACATGCATTAATTCCACTATATTACATCTCGCATTACGTTTCAGCATCTATAAACTCGTAAATTTCGATAACATGCGCGCTACACACGAACATAACATGCCCAGCATGAACGCAGAATAGATATCTGTAACCATTTCACGTTAGATGATCACGCACCATCTTACTCCGCAGAATGTACGCCAGCGTTCTGCCACAACCACGGCTTGTGCAGGGTGGAGAACAACGTACAGGTGTGTCGCTGTCTGGCTGGCTGGCGGGGAGAGCGCTGTGTGACAGCGAGCATTCGGCCGGCCGGTGTCGTGCTCTGCAGCCGCGACAGCGAGTGCAGTCGCAGCAATAACGAGGTGTGCCGCGCCGAGGAGGGTTCGCAACACTGCGCCTGCAAGCCTGGATACTTCAGGAGCGCTCCGGGACCACGAAGCGTGCGCCTGGCAAAACGAAGGTCAGCACCATCTGAGTAGTGGTTACGGGTGTAGCGGGCAATAGTGTGTGGCGTGGCGTGTCGATGTGTGGCGTGTGCGCTGCGTGCGTGTGGCGTGTGCGTTGCAAGTCGTGGGCTGCAGGTTGCGCGTGTGAGTGCGCGCACCGCATAAGATCTCTTTAGCTATATATATAATAATAGAGAAGTAGAGAGATGATTATAGCATTATGATAACTAGATGAGTATATGAGGATAATAGGAAGAAGTATACGCTGTACAGATAGAGAGAGCGCGAACTAACATAAGTAGCAGTAGCGAACAGCAGTAATATAGTATAAGTATAAGTATAAGATAAGTAACAGTAACAGTATAAGTATTACATCGCATTGCTGTGCATTGTATCGTATTGTATTGTATAAACTGTGCATCGCTCTCCAGGAGCTCAGCTCTACGTACTACTGTTGAGGGTCATACGTCGTGACGTCATACCCATCCACTACATCCCCGCATATCGCACGAGGAACTCTGCTGACTACGTCGTCATGACAACGATAGCAGAGCGCGGCGTAAGTTTACAACGACCTGATAACTGCCATTCCCGTTGTGATCAATTCCCGTCCACGTTTAGAATGTATCAATTACATATCTAATCATTACATATACTGATTCAAACGTCGCAACGCATAATAAAGTAAAGAGGAAAACGTGGATTGGGAATTGAAACCAGTTACGCTTGAGCGAGGAGGCTCGAAATCGTTTCCAAAATTCTGAACTTTTGAACCTAACTTACTTATCATAAAGCTGTCATATACGTCCTGTGCCTTCAGTTACTATTACCTTTATTCAATTTATCTATCTAGCTTCCTCTCTCCCTCTCTACCCACCTACCTAACCACCTACCCACCTACCCACCTACTTACCTAGCTACCTACCTACTCATTTACCTATACCTACCTACCTACCATCGTCAGATATTTTACCAAACAGAGAGCAGGTTATAGATAGAATGTTGCAGTGCGAGGCGATTCTATAGAAGTGCTTCTTCTATTCTTATAGATCAACGTCGCCTACAACAACACCGAACTGGCCCCGCAGTACATCGGCGCTCACATTACGGGCATAGGAAGCCCGCTGGACATTGGCTACGGCAGCGAGGGCATCGTCTTCAACGTCACTGTTGGTGTCGGCGTGGACTTCAGGGGAAGGGTGACCGATATCGCCAAGTATCTGGGCGAGTCTATAGAGAAGACCGACAACAGCGTGGGCGGCACGGACCTGTACGTGGATGGTGTCAACTTTGCTCTATCGAACGGTAAGGGCTGCATACACACATAGAGAGACACACACACGCACATGCACGCGCACACACGCGCGCATACACACACACACACACACACACACACACACACACACACACACACACACACACGCACACGCACACGCACACGCACGCATACATACACGCACACGCACACGCACACACACACATTCGCAAACCAACACACCATGCGCACACGCACGCGCACGCACACGCACGCGCGAGATCCATACTACGCACTAGAAGCAGTACATATTAGAATAGTAAATGTTTGCCTCACGAGGATGGCGAGCGACAATCACAATAAATATGTTATATATAGCGCTGAGAAATACTGCATTGTAACTGACGCGTTGTAAATGCTGTAACACTGACCCGTTCTCTTCTCGTGCTTCTCATAGACTTCAACGAATGCGCGCACCCATCGCTCAACGACTGCCACCACAGCGCCCTCTGTGAGAACCAGCCGGGAACGTATACGTGCAAATGCCTGCCAGAGTTCTTCGACATGAAGACAGTTAACGACAAGCTGCCGGTTGGAAGGGACTGTCGTCGTAAGTTGCCTTCACTTGCGCCTTCTCTCGATCGTGATATCGTAGCCAAAAGATTTTCGTTGGCGCACGCTGGGTGTGGGTAGCGTTAACGGAGTTTACTACTATACATAATAGAATAAAGTATGATACAAATTATGATGTGAAATACGTGGATTGAGACCGTGTCTACCCTTACGCTGTGTTTACAGACTGCTCATCGGAACAGTACTGCAATGACAGAGGCACGTGCTTGTTCGACGCCAAATCAAACCCAGTCTGCCGGTAGGTTTGAGAGCACGAGCGTATCTAGCCACAAATTACCTTTACCCTACTCTCACTACTACGTGGCGGGAGGCCTACGACGTATAATGCACGTAGAGCTTTGTCACGCTAGAGCATACCTATAAACATTATTATAAATCATATACATTATACCTAGAGTATGGATATCGTTATGGTGGTTGTGCATTTCCGTTCAAATCGCGTATAGCCATAGCAACGCAAGGCCAAGCGCATTATTTAACCCATCATTACAGTTACGATGTTGACTCTCGTAATATATTAACCTGAGATCCCCCATCAAACTTTTAAACATCTAAAAGCTACTATCACCCTCACGAAACAAAGGGATGAGTCCGAGCAGCGCCGCCACCTATGAGCAGCATTGTCAAGTTTCCAGGTGTCACATCCCGGTGTTGACATCGCGGTTGATCTTGCTGCAGGTGCATAACGGGCTGGCGAGGCAGGAACTGTGAGAAGGCTGATATTAAGAACGAGCCTATCGGACCTGCCTGCGGGTCCATACTCGACTGCGACAAGTTCAAGAGCGAGGTTTGCGGCACCGTCGGCAGCCTCGACCGCTACTGCGTCTGCAGAGCTGGCTACTCCCGCAAAGACGCCAGTGAGGCATGCGTGTGTAAGTAATTTATTATCATGAATAGACCATGGATGGAGCTATTATAGTAGTACTGGTCGTCATCGTCGTCGTCGTATGAGTAATAAACAGTAAAGAATAGTAACATGAACATCAGCAGAATAAGAGGAGGTGTGGGGGGGAGGGAATGGATCAGAGCTTTAATGGTGAATAGTTTTATGTTTTGGGTTCATTCTTTTTCATGCTGGTTCGTTTTTGTAGATCAACATTAATATGACGATATTATGTAGTTTTATATATCAGGTTTGATATAAATGTCAACATCCACCTTAGCATTTACTCATCACTGGAATGTTACTCAACGTCTCTTACCTACCGAGACTGAAGTTGTTAATTAAACGTAATTTGTCTCCCTGCAGCTTCTCTTGTTTACATCATTCCACTGAGAATCACTCGCCGTGAAGCCATTCCACTCAGGTTCAAGAACGACTACAAGAACAAGTTATCGGAGGAGTACCTCAACCTCACCAACCTGGCAAAGTCCGGGGTAAGTGTGCGCTTATCTCCCCTAGGGAGCTCATGTCCTAATAGCGCTGAGTGGGTCTATGTCCCCCAGGGTACTATCGGAGGGTACCCTGGGTACGGTTCGATATATCGGAACGTACAAATAAGCAATAACAATAATTATTGTCGATTAATATATTGTTGTTTTTTTATTATTTATTTATTACTATGATGGATGAAGCTTATTATTATTATTTAATATTAGTAGTAGTAGTAGTAGTAGTAAGTAGTAGTAGTAGTAGTAGTAGTAGTGTAGTAGTAGTAGTAGTAGAGTATGAGCGTAGCAGCAGCAGGGCAGTAGCAGCAACAACAGGGCAGCAGTAGCAGTAGCAGTAGCAGGCAGTCGCAGTTAGAAGAATTATATGCAAGCAAAATATTTGACTATGCAGCACATAAATAGTGTTAAGGCTAATAACTATAAAGCTTGCTCATACGGATTAATAAGTTAAGTTAAATATAAGTGCCGATAGTATAAACGTTGGCGGAACACGTGCGATTTTCTAGCAGAGACGACGGATGAAACGGAGGTAAGACCAGTAGCGGGTTAAGCAAAGAAGCCAGAGCGAATGCAACCGCCCTTGCGTCCAGGCGCCGCAGAGTTCGGCTCGTTCCACGGCAGCTAGAGGCCCCCATGGGAATACGGTTACGAGGAGACTACGGAGACGACGACGGAGACGCCGCGTAAGAGGAGACTACGAGGAGAGCTACCGAGGGAGACGCCAACAACGCGCAGCATGCAACAGATCAGCTGACAGCAGCAGCAGCGACAGCAGCAGCAGCAGTAGAAGCTACCAAGAACAGGCAGGCGGAGCGGAGGAACTACCGAG